TCGGATGGAGGTACCAGGGTACGGATGGAGGTACCAGGGGTACGGATGGAGGTACCAGAGGTACGGATGGAGGTACCAGGGTACGGATGGAGGTACCATAGGTTCGGATGGAGGTACCAGAGGTTCGGATGGAGGTACCAGGGTACGGATGGAGGTACCAGGTGTCAGGTTTATCCAATTTGACACTCAGGAATAAAACACAAGGAGGAGACAGGAGACTCAATTCTGGTACCAGGAGGGAACGAGGAGAAGCGTTCGGTTTCAGTTCTCGGCACGTCCCCCCTGCCGATCTCCTCCTTCACCCCCTCATTTATTGGGAAATCTACTACATAGGTGTGTCCAACCTAAAGGGTGGGGGCTGTTGGACACCCACTGAACTTGTTTGACTATGTGTGTGTATGTGAGTGTAAATTACGAACATGTGTGCAAAAACATCACGTCGCAGCTGGTGTCGATGGCTCCATTCACTGTCCAACCTTGCTCACCGTTTAGTCTGAACACTTATCTCTTCCCAACCACGTCCTCGGAAAGGTGGTTGCGTCCCTAAACTTCCACACAGTGCACTCAGCATTCTTGAGTATAAACGTGAGTATATAATGGATAAAAAGGATTATAAATGTGAGTACATTATGCTTAATATACATAATGATGAAGAAGCATTATATTAGAAGCGTAAGCATTCTTCTTTGCAAGCATAATCAATTTATCATTGATAGTTGCAGCCATAAAAACAAGTCAACAGTGATCACAGATATCGCACTTCCAAGGACCAAGTACCAAGAAGTACCAAGAACTAAACTGAGGCTCAGAGGGGATGGAGCCTTTTCTGTTGCTGGTCCCTCTCTCTGGAATGAGCTCCCACTGAACATTGGGCAAGCCTCCTCGCTGCCCATCTTCAAAACCCGCCTCAAAACTCACTTGTATTCTTGGGCATTTGACTCAGCATGACTTAGATTTGTTCTCGGTTTTACTGTTTGGTGCTTTCTACCGTCTTTATGACCGATTTGTTTTACTGTTTACTGTATATGTTAAATTGCTCCATGTACAGCACTTTGTATGCAGCGATGGCTGTTTGAAAGTGCTCCATAAATACAGTTGACTTGACTTGACTTGACTTCCAAACACGTGGACATCAAAATAAGATGACACTTATATTCCTCCCCCAAAAAATTAAAAGAAGCTTTCGCAGTCACAGGAATTCCTACACAACAGGATGAACGTAATGTTCTTCACAACACGGTGACCTTCTCGTTCAATGTTTTGGTCCAAAAGAGCGACGGGGTTGCTGATATGACAACATCCTCAGGCGCGGGTGACCGAATGACAAGACGTCCCCTATACTGTGGTGACGTTCATATAAATGAGAGTGAATTCAAGACGGCAGCCACAAATTTCACGCGGCCTGACAACCGGTTGGTGAGCGCGATGCCGCCGGGAGCCCCGCCGCTCTCACACTGCACGTCGTATTCATGTGCACGGAAGAGCCAAAATGTTGCCAAAGAGGGAATACGCTGCACGCTACACAATAACGCACAATGCAGGATTGGAGTGACGCGGGGACAAAATGGGAAAGAAATGAAAATGTCATCCTTTCTGGTCATACTCTGGTGAAATCAATAGAGGGACGGGGTTGTAAGGGTTGAAGAGTTCCTTTGATGGACCGTGCTGACTCGTCCCTGTCCTCCTCTTTCCCGTCGCGGAGGTGTTGCAGGGGAGCAGGTGGAACCGAGGCGAGGAGGGACGGACGGACGGACAGACGGACGGGTGCGGCCGCTTAGTTGAAGCCGATGTCGGTGTGGTAGGAGTAGTGGCCGTCCGACGTCAGCTGGGTTGTCTCTGTTGCTGTGGGCTGAAGCACGAATGGGCTCGCCTCCCGCTTCTGCCGTAGACATGTTGAGGTTTATTTCGGTTCATACTACATCTATGGGCGAAAGCGTTCATTTTCACCTTTGGCAATTAATTTAGCACGTGAGCTTTCGTGCTTCATTTTAAATGTGCAACCTCGAGTTACGAATGACCCTTTTTACGAAACTTTTCAAGTTAATCACTATTTTTGGGCAAGAATATGACTCTAGTCATGTACACCTTTCTCAGCAAGGATGAGCAGGCCAATCACGCATACCTACCTACCTACCAACCAACCAACCAACCAACCAACCAGAGGCGATTGCTCGAAGACTGCAAGGGAAGCTCAGCTTCCCCTAGAATGTCAAAAAGTAAGTGATCAAATATATGTGTGTGCGTACAATTGTGTGGACATGCTATTGACTAAATACACACTACAACGCGCTCAACTTTTGTTCCGAATCATCTTCTTATTTCTGGCTACGACGCGACTCTCTTCTCATTCATTCCCGCAGCTTCACTGTGCTTTCAACTGTGTGGACGCTGAGCGTCGACCGCTCAGACGCTGGGCGTCGAGAGAGTTCAGTGTAGGTCGTCCCAAAGCATTGAAACGAGACCAGTCATTGGATAAATGCTGGTTTTGTCCCGCCCACCGGACGCTCAGCGTCCCTGGGAGTCTGTGGACAGTGGGCGTTTATAGGCTGGCCCGGAAAACCTCCGCTTTTCTGCATGATGATTGGATGATCTGTCTGAGGCTGAATCCCTTTTTGATTGACAGTGAAATGAGCCAATCACCGGTCTTTTGGCGTCGGCATCCGTGGGAACATCTTTCAATTCTCATTCTGTTCTAAATTGAACTGGAGACTTCTAATCATCTTAGCGACACTCCCTTTGTTGAAAACGACGAGCGACAAATTAATCTTTTGTTTCTGCTGGGTTTTATTGTAGTTGCTGTAGTTGTAGGACACTAGTTGAGTCCCTGGAAAAGACGCCCTGTTGGTATGACAGGGTCACAGATAGTTTTCTTGAAAAGGAACGGAGAGTAGAATTCACGTATAAATAAACGGGCACATTTTATGATGTTGGCTAACATTGAGCTTCCCCTCCTTGACAGACCAGCATCCGCCACTGATACACACATATACATACATACAGTCAACCGCCATTCATTGCGGTGAATATGTGTGCCAGACCACAGTGATGTTCCTCTAACATGGTCTTTTTTTTTTTTTTTTTTTTTTTTTTGTAATTTTGCAGCAGCAGCAGCAGAATAAGATGTAATCCTACTAAATATCGAGGTATTTCAGTTTCAAAGTTCTGTGACGGAATCAAAGGAGAATTCTGAGAGAAAATTCTCCCTGCCAGTGGAGTTTCGTTCTGGCACAATTTATTGGGCTGGTTTGAGAAGTGAACGCTGCCCTCTGCTGTCAACTTGCTGTGAGTGAATCAGGGAGCTGACAAATAACGTCAGCGTGTTGTCCGATTTCATTTTGTTGGCCTTCAAGATTTGTGATTGCAGCAAGAAAGCGGGTGTGCCTTAAAATGTCTGTTTGCATGAGTGTCATTTTTGCTGATACAATATGAAAGACACTCAACCAAATAGGATTGATTTTGTTCAAATACATTATGTCAGTTCAAAGATAAAACATTTCAGCATGACGTCTTTTGTTTTCAGTTACAGTAAGTGTGTTTATCCTTCACATAACTGGCATTCAATTTTCCAATCACTCAAAACAGAGGTGTTGTTTTTTTTTTATGATACTGCAATAATACCACGGCCCTGATCCCATGACCTTACCTTACAGTGAGATTTTGATATTGTTACAAATCTCGTAACGAGTAATCTCATGTGACACGATTTTCAAACAGACAATCAGATTAAGTTGCTAATCCTAGTCGGTGTGCGTAACGATTGTGGTGAGAATGAGCGACATTGACTATTTACAAGGGAAAAGTGAACATTTGGGAAGTACCGGTATTGATGCTCATTATGGGCGGCCCGGTAGTCCAGTGGTTAGCACGTCGACTTCACAGTGCAGAGGTACCGGGTTCAATTCCAGCTCCGGCCTCCCTGTGTGGAGTTTGCATGTTGTCCCCGGGCCTGCGTGGCTTTTCTCCGGGTGCTCCGCTTTCCTCCCACATTCCAAAAACATGCTTGGCAGGCTGATTGAACACACTGAATTGTCCCTGGGTGTGAGAGTGAGCGTGCATGGTTGTTCGTCTCTGTGTGCCCTGCGATTGGCTGGCAACGGGTTCAGGGTGTCCCCCGCCTACTGCCCGAAGACGGCTGGGATAGGCTCCAGCACCCCCCGCGACCCTAGTGAGGATTAAGCGGTTCGGAAAATGGATGGATGGATGGATGGGCCCTCCCGTGGCCGAGGTTTACATCGTCCGCAGCAGCACAGGCAGCAGCAGAAGTAGCAGCCGGTGGCCAGGCCGCACAACACAAACAGCGCCTGCAAAAGAGCCTGAGTTTGATGGCCGGCTGCGCACAAAAACCACCAACAAAGCAGACGTTTCCCAGCCAACCAAACTTACCTTTGCCCACCAGCTGGAGAGGCTAAAGTAAGTGTTGACATTCTCTTCTCCAAATTGCTCGGCCACGTACAGTCCCAGCGAGCCGTATTTGTCGTAAATGTTGCGCTTCGTGGGGTCATTGAGAATGGCATGGGCATTGTTTATCTCCTTGAACGTATCGACTGCTTCAGGATTGTCAGGATTCTTGTCAGGGTGAAACTTCACCGCCAGTTTCCTGCGTGCCCGCAACGCCATCAGAGAGGTGACTTGTCAATTGATAACTAATTCCCCCTCTTTTTCTTTGATTGTTTATTCAAAAGAAAAACACTGCCGTGATAATCGTCACTTGGCTATAAAATTGTGAGACGTATACTCCTGTATTACATTTAAACCTGATTCACATTAAAGAGCAAAAGAAAGAGATATTGTCACATAAAACATTTTCCCCTCCAAAACAAAATGTATAAAACAGTTCGCCGAATTTTTTTATATTTTTTTTTTCGATCGTCTAGATCACCGGTGCCAAACTCGAAGCCTGGGGGCCAGATCCGGCCCACCACATCATTTTATGTGGCCCGCGAAAGCAAATCAAGCGCGTCAACTTCCGTGATCCTTGCTAAAATTAGTTCCGAAATGTCACATTTTATGGATAACAAATGACGTCGAGATTTTGTGGTAATTTTTTTACCCTGTCACTCACTCAAACAATAATTGAACAAACTATCATAGTTAATCTGAGTACAAAATTTCAAAATTGGTCATCTATAAATACAGTTGAGTGGAGTTGTACAAGTAGTGAATTAAATTTCCCCGTCGAACGAACGTCCAACGAAGGAGGATGCAACCCCATAGCGGCACTTGATAAAGATGAGTTTGACACCCCTGGTCCAGATCTGTTAAGCAAAATGTAGGTTATTATTCAAAAATACATCCCCTTTCTCATGTGCCAAAGGAGAACACATCCATCCATCCATCCATTTTCCGAACCGCTTGATCCTCACTAGGGTCGCGGGGGGTGCTGGAGCCTATCCCAGCCGTCTTCGGGCAGTAGGCGGGGGACACCCTGAATCAGTTGCCAGCCAATCGCAGGGCACACAGAGACGAACAACCATCCATGCCCACACTCACACACCTTTAGAGCGTCCAATCAGCCTGCTGTGCATGTTTTTGGAATGTGGGAGGAAACCGGAGCACCCGGAGAAAACCCACACAAGCCCGGGGAGAACATGCAAGCTGGAATCGAACCCGGTACCTCTGCACTATGAAGCCGACGTGCTAACCACTGGACTACCGGGCCGCCAGGAGAACACATACACCAGAAAAAGAAGATCAGTGCAGTTGTCCATGTGCTAGTGTGATCATGTGACAGGAAATGGGGACACGCAACGACCGATATTCTAGCATGTCGACAGAAACACACCTTAAATGAAGTCGGTGTCTTGAGTTTCTTGCATAGAATCAAACAAGTTAGTACACCAAAGCAAATAATATGATTACATGCAAATATCCATCCATTTTCCGAGCCGCTTAATCCTCACCAGGGTCGCGGGGGGGGGGGGGGACGGGGGTGGTGGGAGCTATTCCCAGCCATCTTCGGGCAGTAGGCAGGGGACCCCCTGAACCCGTTGCCAGCCAATCGCAGGGCACACAGAGACGAACAACCATACGCGCTCACACTCACACCTCGGGACAATTTAGTGTGTTCAATCCGCCTGCCATGCATGTTTTTGGAATGTGGGAGGAAAGCGGAGCACCCGGAGAAAAGCCACGCAGGCCCGGGGACAACATGCAAACTGCACACAGGGAGGCCGGAGCTGGAATTGAACCCGGTACCTCTGCACTGTGAAGTCGACGTGCTAACCACTGGACGGCAGGCACGGTTGTCTTTCTTGCAAGAGAGAGTGCGCTCAAACATGTCTCGGTTCACAATCTCGGATCAGCTCTCCAGCTGGCTCTGCCATGTAAACCGTGACAGGTCCCGGGGCAACTCTTCAGAGACCGCGTTTGTCTCCTTGCATTGATTGGAAGGATGTCCCTGAAACACACGGCCAATTGTAGCGTAGTCCGAAAGGTGACGCTTTTGAAGGTGCTTTTCGATTATTTACTGTCTTAAGTTGTTCAATTTAAAAAGCAAAACGTACATATTATATTCACTGTAGTTTTGGTATGAAGAAAGCAGTCCGTTTATGAGCTTGAAAGTAGTTTTACTCCAGCAGCACCAAGAACGTGTTCCAGGCTTACTGGTGTTGCAAATCCACCATAGAGCTCCCGCGACACCTTGTGGACGGGTGCTATAACAGCAGGTTAGAATGGCTATGCAATTGGGACATTACCAGAATAAGAAACAGATCTACATTCACTACACACAGTAAACTGTTTGGTAATATAATTGATGTTTACAGTGAAGGAAAACCTTCATTTACCATATCGTTTCCCGAGAAAATAAAGCAAGTTCTTTGTAGAAATGATTGGCAAATTGATTTTCTTAAAGTAGGCTTATTTTTCTGTGTTTCTTCAATCTGTGTCATAGATAAATTTCATCATGAGATAGTCAGTAAAACCTTGCATTACAGTACAGCTTTTGAGTGCAGTCGTTGCAGTGCTGTCAAGTTTTAGTTAAACTTACTTCAAATCGAAACCGGAAATGAAATCAAAAAAACAAAAGCTTGAATTTGCTACGGCGCCCGACACACGTTGAAGTGGGACAGAATGCAGGCATTAAACAAAAAAACAAGAAACTGTGAAATTATATGATGTCAAAAGTTGTAGTTTAGTCTTCTAAACCTTTGTAGTCACTGCTATTGTTGGGTGATGTTTTTATGTGGAAACAACAAGCGGAAAACGTTTTTGACCAATACCGTCGTTCTTATACGGCACGTGGAAACGTGACAGGTTTTCAGTCTTGACAATCAAAAAGCTTGTGGTGTCGGTTTGCAATATTAGTGTCAACGCATTTTTATCATGCCAACGTCGTTTGTTGTTGCAAGTATGAAATAAATTAGAGGGAAAACTGTCGCACGATGAACAGAGAAGGAGACAGATGTGGAAAGAATGCGCCCAAGAGCCAGAAGGCTTCCAGGGTGTCCCAACAGGGAACCGTCCAGAGAAGGAAAAAGGATGCCGCATCGGAAGAGAGCCAAAGTGGTGGCCAGCCAAGAGCAACGTCGGCAGGTCATCGTGGCTTTGGGAAAGAGGGGAAAACAACGGGGAAACGTCCGCAGAGCGCCGTGGCGGAATGCCAGAGACGCCCCGCTACCCGGAGGAAACGCTCCGACGCCAGCGACACGTCGGAGGACCTGAGCAAAGACTCCGGCTGCTTGTCGGGGAAACCCTCCTCCGACAGCAGCTCGGAAATATCCGATTGTACGTGGGAAGATAACAAGCGTGACTCTCCCATCAGCGACAATGAATTAAGCTGGACAGACAGGAGAGCTTACGAGGGGTGACAAAGACGACTGCAAAGAGCGCGTAAAAAACAGCGCACGCTGCTTGCTCTCCTCTCCTGGATGCTGTTGGAAGAGCCCTCACTTTCATCAACTCTTCAGGGGCCGTTATGGATCTCTTGATGGCAGACTCCACCGATGACCTGGTCAGGGAGGTGGAAGATTTGAGGTCAGAGAATGAGTATTTGCTGGTAAGATCCTTCAATTCCGTTGCATAAACTCTTCTCTCTCTCTCTCTCTCTCTCTCTCGTCTCTTTTTTTTGACTTGCATCACCTATTCTCTGTAGTCAAGGGCTGAAAGTAATGTTTTTTTTTTTTAAATAATCTAAAAAAAAAAACAGCAATTCATTTCTTCAGAAACAGATGATTTCAAATTGGCAATGCAGAAAATAAACAGACAAATTGGTTGTGATTCAGTTACTGGTTTGGTCGGTAATTTTCATCACAAAAATGGCAAAAATGTTGATCACCGCTATCCATGAAGGAAAATGTTTAGAAATCTATTATTGAGTCAAAGCAAAGAGTAGAAATGCAAGAGCATTTACTATTGAGAGGCTGGGGGGAAAAAAAAAAAAAAAATCACACAACATACGATCACGACGGTCACACGTTGACTACTGAGCGGACTAAATTTCCCGCAGCACCGATTGGACAAGCAATGTCATGTGATCATCTGCAGCCAGTGATGGCCAAGCGGGCGTGTCATAACTAATTGACATGTCGAGTCGGGTGTGTCGATACTGTATACCTTCGTGGCAGAGGCTCCCTCGAACCGCTGAGACTGATTTGCCGAACCCTTGGGGTTCGATTGAACCCAGGTTAAGAACCACTGATTTAAAGCGTTTTAAAAATGGTTTCCACTCTTTTTTTCGACACTTTTCAGTTATTTTGTCATTTTAGAAAGCTACTTTTTATTTCTTTACTTTGCTGATTGTCTTTAACTTATTTGCTTTTAAATGTTACTCTTTTTAATTTTGTGAAGCACACCTTGTGTATGAAAGGTGCGAGATAAATAGAGCCGCTTTGCCTGTTGACTTACGGAGTAAACGAGACGCTTAAAGCACAAGTCAGCTATACTACCTTTTGGCGAGAGGTAAGATCGGGCCGCCCGAGCCCGACCCTAAAATGTCAATCATTGCTTCGGGTTCGGGTCGGGTGGGGCTTCTCGCTCGCCGACTTTAAAATAAATAAATAAATAAATATATGTTTTACAAAACGTATAGGAAAAATAAGATAAGATAAGATAATCCTTTATTTGTCCCACACTGGGGAAATTTACAGCCTTCAGCAGCAAGATTGTAGGTAGAAAGAAGAGAAAAAAAAAAAACACAGTTCAATTAAGTGCAATGTAAATACAAACATGGATAAGGTCAATAAGTTCAATTAAGTGCAATATTATACAATACAATAGTCCCCGTACTATTCAAATTCACAGTTTTTGTCATATTATTTAAATAAATTTATTATTTGTTTATTCATTTTTTATTCAGCAGCAGAAAAAAAAAAAACACAGTTCAATTAAGTGCAATGTAAATACAAACATGGATAAGGTCAATAAGTTCAATTAAGTGCAATATTATACAATACAATAGTCCCCGTACTATTCAAATTCACAGTTTTTGTCATATTATTTAAATAAATTTATTATTTGTTTATTCATTTTTTATTCAGCAGCCTGACAGCAGTCGGTAGGAACGAGCGGCGGTATCTCTCCG